TTGGGAGTATGAGTGTGTTGATCCCGTCGTTCCCATCCCTGCCACGGCCCTTGGGTCTCTTGACCCGCCCTCCTGCACGCATGCGCAGTCTCGGTGTTGATTCTCTCTCTCTCTCTCTCTGTCCCCTTTTTGAATTGGTAGGTGTCGTTTTTGGAACTTCTCGTCCCTGCACCGGTGACGTCAACCGCCTGCGCCCGCGCGCGCTGTTGACGGCCCCGCCAGAGGAAGATAACTTAGATTCCGCCATTTTCTTTTTTTTTGAAACACCAACCCTGGGAGAGAGAGACTGCACTGAGTTGTTGTATGGAGACTGCGTTGGTTCGGACGACCAAGAGCGCGGGGTCCTGCCCGTGTTCATCGCTCACCTCCGATCGTCCCATCGTGCTACCGGCCTTCCCCATCGAAGATGACGACGTCTACTGCGATGCGGATGTACGGCGCTCCCTGAGACGAACGGAGCAAGTTTGTTGGCGGGACCCGCCTCGGGTGTGTAATATAAGGGGAAACGGGTTTGTCCCGACTGATCGATTTGACTCCCCGACCCTGATTTTGCCCTATACTAATTTGATAGTGTTGCCTTGGTCGGCAGCCCACGCCACGTGGCGGCCGCTGTTCACTTGCCGCTAGTGTCGCCAAGGAGACTCTTGTTCCTGGCGACGGCTGGTCCTTGGATACGAGGGAGTGGCGCGTTTCCCCGAGCTCTCCCGTGACGCGGGGGCGCTGCCCGCACAATTTCGAACTTGGGTGCTGGTGGGCTTTTCTGCCGCCTTGCCACCGACGCGGGAAATTCCGCGCGGGCTCGATGAGTCTGACGCCGAGGCCTGAAGGCCTCGAACCAACCATCTGTACGACGAACCCATAGCGGCAGAGTTTTCTGTCCCCCGCCGCCATGGCCCCCTCCCCCTGATGCTTTTTCTCATTTTGATTCACTGCGGTTGTTTGTATTTGCGGAACTATTCTGTTTTTCTCACTTCAAAGTGTCTCGACCTCCGCTGGACTCAACGATGACAGTTCAATTCCGTGGTTACCTCAGACCCGAACCCGGAGAACCCCGTTTCAACCGGGCGACTCCGCCCCTACGGCCAAAAATCCTCGGCCACACCTCTAATAACTCTGATCGGCGCGCAAGGGTACGCCACGCCGCACAGGGTGTGAGGTTCCTGCGCGTCACAGACTGCACCTCCGCGCCGTGCGTGGTATATAATTGTTACGGACTAGTAACCGTGTATATGTGACGATCCACGTTCCGGCTTCGTGCTATCTTTCGTACCCCTCAGTTCATTTTTTTGCACTTTGTATCATACGGGCCCCCTAAAGCCCTTGCTTTTTTTCTTGATTTCGGGCGCCTCGTTTTCGGCCCCCAATTTCCGGAAGCCTGATTGATTCTTGGAGTTCTGCCTTTTTGTAATTCGGAAATGCATGGAAAATTATGTGCGCCTTAGCGAGCGCACTGGGAATCGGGCTCGACAGTTGGGAATTCCGAGATAACCGGAACGCGATGTGTCCTTTTTGTGCATGAATATTCTCGGTCGCGTCGTCGAAAGCTCTAGGAATTTTTGTGAGAATACGGATAGGCATAGGATTTTCCTTTCCCGCGTCGACTTCGTGCGCGGATGCGATAATCTCAAATTTTGAATTCTTTTTAGACTTTAGGCAAGTTGTAACTGTTTTGATGCCTTTTTCTGCAGTTGCCGACGCCATGCATGCGAGCTTCCTCCTCCTTATTTCCCGCGCCTTTCTCTCCCAGCGCTGTCCTCCTTCTTCTCCCTCCTTTCTTCTCCCTACTTCTCCCATTATAACTGTTTTTCTCCCTATCTACTCTTTGCCCGCCTGTTCCTCCTTCTTGATCGTCTGAATCTTGGACCCGTCTTGCGCTGCTTCTCATGCTTCTTTCCTTCCCATTCACCAATCAGGCGCGTTGAGCAAAAGGGACTCCCTGTTGCGCAACGAATCTGATTGGCCGAACATCGGGTTGCAAGGACTCAACATGGCTTCCCTTGTGCATTCCCTCCTAACCCTCTTCCCTCTGCACCCCAACTCCTCATCTTTCTTCTCATTTCATTCCTTCTCGCTCCCCTGTCGCAGCTATAAATTCCGCAAACGCGCCTGCAAATCTCTCTCATGCTCTCAACTCGCAGGCCCGCTTCAGGGAAGTAGTGGCTAGGCGATGTGTCTGGTGCGAGTCGGAAAGTCCTGTCGGGCTGACTGCAGGCTGGCAAGTTGTGCGCTGGATCGTCACGACGGACTGTGGGATCAGGGCGAGCTATGTCGAGGTGCGTCGGCGGGGTGACGATCGTAGTGGCAAGTGGTTGCACGCGACGGCCGGGATCGTCGGTGTGGGATCGGAGATCAGCAGTGGAGTTGAGTGGTTAACTGGCCAGGGGCCAGATCGAACTTTCATGGCGGATGCGCCTTTTGTCTTGCGGAATTCTTTCATTTTGGTATGAGTGCACGACTGCACGGCCGATCGTTTCTTTTCGCATGTTTGTCTTTGCGGTTCCGACGTTCCCCGTCTATCTGTCTTCTTCCTCTCTGGTCCTCCTTTACTTCCACGTGAATGAGTCGTGGAGACGTGGTCGAGTAAGCCTTGTCTCAGATCTGTGAATTTCCCGATGCATGGTTTCCCTTTTCCCCCTTCCCCCCCCCATGAATGAGGATGATGATGTGTGAAATGCCTGAGACCCAAGGTGAACTCGAGTGTGTTCGAGCATGAAAGAACTTCTTTCAGAACTCTTTCATTAGTTTCCTGGGTAATCCCCGGAGGAGCGGGTTTCCCTACCTTGCCTTGTGAAATATGGATGCGTGTGCATAATCTCCCCCTACGATTTTGTTGATGGTTTGGATGGATGGTTGTTTTTTTGCACCTTCCACAGTGGATGAAAATGGGGGTGCCCCTTGATCAATAAAGGCTTCTGCCTTGGACGCACTGCGCATGCCATCTGCCTTATGCTGCACGACACCTCCCCTCTTTCACCCATAAGGAAACAAAAACTTTCGCGGATTCCTACCCGACGAAATCATTCCGCCTGAGTCGCGGGTCGGTCCCTCCGAACCCCCACCATTTTCCTAAGTCGCTGTCTAGTTCGGATTCCGTAAAAATTTTGAGTAGGAGTCTCAACTATTTTCCTTCGCATCTCCTTTTCTGATGATGTTCCAGGAATTTTTTTGCTGATTGATATGTGGACTAACTAGCGCGTTTCGCTTGGGCGACCGCCTCCCGTACTCCCCAGGCCCACGCCTCCCTTCCCGTACAACGAGGAAAGGACACGTGTCTGCGAGTGGGACGTACGAGAAGCTGTTGCGCGGGTTGGGGGAGGATATTACTTTCCTCCCGAAAATCGGTGTTCTAGATTCGTGGATGCTGGCTTTGTCATAGTTGATACGCACTTTCCGCCCTATTCAGTGTTGTTGCCGTTTAACGAGCTCATCGTCATTCCGTGGACGGCAGTGGCACCCCACTGGCCCAGAACTTTATGCTCTGAGTGTCAACGCTTCGAGCGATACGAATCGAAGGGGTCCCACTACCGAGTACGGAGTGAGGAAGAACACAAGGAAAGAGCCACGCGGCTGAGACCATCCACGTCGGACTCGGAATTAACCAACGAATGACGTCGAGACTTGTTCAGGAAACGAGATACGCGGAGCGTGCCAAAACCTTTTTGCTCTAAACGGCAGGCAGTCGCACGATGGGAGGTGCGGCAATACTTTCTGGATTGAATTTGTATTTTTCTCTTCCCGCGCCGTGTCCGCGCGCGCGTTTTGCACGCGAAAACATTCGACTTACTCCATCAGACCAACACGAGGGTATTTCGGTTCTGTCTGTGTCCCCACACTCAATTTCCCAAAAATCCTTGGCACACCCCATTTTGCTGTTCTTTCGGGGCCAATTCCACCGCATCGTGCACTCCGAACGAAAGACAGCGCAGGGCGTGAGGTTGCGCGTCACATATCGAACTGCATGTGCCCAGGGGCTATGTATACAAATGTGCTGAACTATGTGGTTGTGACCGTAGAAAGTATCAAGGCTAGTAACTCATGTGTGTGTACTATGTGGTGGTGATAGTCCTATCTGGACCCCCCCCCCCCCCTGGAGTGTTCTACCATTTGCGCTAGGATTGCAAGTGAACCTAATGTGTGAAATAGCTAGACCTTGGAGATCATCAGAACAACCCATAGCCAACAACACGCGTGTAGCCCAGACAAGCGTAGGCTAGTAACTCATGTGTGTGCCCCCCCCGGAGTCCAAAAGCCAATGACCTGCAGCATGTAACTGGAGTGTTCTACCATTTGCGCTAGCATTGCAAGTGAACCTAATGTGTGAAATAGCTAGACCTTGGAGATCATCAGAACAACCCATAGCCAACAACACGAGTGTAGCCCAGACACGTGTAGGCTAGTAACTCATGTGTGTGTACTATGTGGTGGTGATAGTCCTATCTGGACAACCCCCCCCCCCTGGAGTGTTCTACCATTTGCGCTAGGATTGCAAGTGAACCTAATGTGTGAAATAGCTAGACCTTGGAGATCATCAGAACAACCCATAGCCAACAACACGCGTGTAGCCCAGACAAGCGTGTAGCCCAGACAAACATACGACACCCGTGGACTAACCCTTGGGTGGTGCGCAGGCAGTGTAATAGCTTACCTGTGTCGGCCCAAGGGCGATGCAAGTGACCATGCATCATTATGTAAACACCTGCCAGTGTGCAGAGACGTCCGGAGTTTTGAACCCACAACCTCTGACCACAATGCGCATTGACAACCGGTGCCCTGACCACTGAGCCACATCTCTATGTGTGTGGGGCTAGGTGCGAGGCATTACAGGAGCGAGGGGGAGATGAGGGTCGGGTGAAGGGCTGTAGGGGTGATGGGGGGAATGGAAAGGCAAGAATGGGTGAGGCTAGGGCTGGGTGGCCTAACTGGGGCTAAGGTGAAAGAATGCACAGGCCTAACTGCCGGCCGAAGTCGGTCGGTTGGACTGCATAGAGTCCCTGTTCTGGGGCGCCACTCTCCTCTACCCACCTCCCTATTTGGCCTGCTACGACACGAAAACAACCGAGTGCCCTGGTTGTATAGAGAAGGTTATATCAGTCAGAGAGAGAAGAGGAGAGAGGGGAAAGAAGAGAAGGAAAAGAGAAAGAGGAGGAGGGAGAAGCAGGAGAGGGGAAGGTAAAATTGAGATGGCGTCTGAGGATTGCTGGGTATGGGTGGAGGGGAGGGGGGGAAAGGCAGCGGGGAAGTAGTCTGCGGCTTGTTGCATCAGCCATGGGGGGGATCGTAATTTCCGAGAGAGAAAATGAGTAGAGGTGGGACCTTCCGGGTCGGTTGGTTGGGTCAGAAATGAATAGTATTTTTTAGAGAGCAGGACGGAAAGGGTGTATGACAGTGGTGAGATGGAGGGTAGCAGTTGTGGGAGGAGGAGGCGGTGCGCTGTGGCGGTGGTGGGTGCGGGCGCCGCGGGGCTGGTTTCCGCCCGCGAGCTGAAGAGGGAAGGACATTCAGTGACAGTCTTCGAGCAGCAGGATAGATTTGGGGGGTTATGGGTTTACGACGACCGTACAAATCTCGCTGCGGGTTGGCGGCGAGGGAGTAAGGTGGATGGTTTTGACGCTTGGGCAGCTGAAGAGGCAGCTAGCATCTCGCCCCCACGTGTACATAATGGAATCTATAAGTCGTTGAGAACTGTCATCCCTAGAGAAACGATGAGTTATACCGACTTCCCCTTCCTTCCCAAACCCGGAAGAGATGGACGAAGATTCTGTGGACACGTGGCAGTGGCGGAATATCTCCGGGATTTTGCCGACGAGTTCCAATTAACGGACCACATTCGTCTGAACACACGAGTCGTTCGAATAGAGCAAGCAGAAAGGCAGCCGCAGCAGCAGCAGCCGCAGCAGCAGCAGGAGGAGGAGGAGGGAGGGAGGAGAAGCGCCTGCGTACGGTCGTGGTGCGAGAGAGCAGATGCGTGCAGTCGGGATCGCGATGGACCTTGTGCTTCTCTCAATGCGGGAGAGAACGAGAGGGGAGATGAAACTGAGAGGATGGACGATCAACGGTCTCATCGGGATCCGGATGTCACGTGGACGCTAAGCAGTGATCAAGAGAGCCTTGGATGCGCTTCGGAGAGGATGGGAGAATCCCGACCCCGACCCTGTGCTAGATCTTACCGAGACATGCCACGTGGATGGCGTGTCACGTCGCGACGTGTCGTGAGAAGGCGACGAAGACGGACACGTGGACATGACGTTCTCGAGAATGAGAAGAAGGAGAACAAGGATGAGGTGGAAGAGGAGGAGGAGGAGGAGGAGGAAGAAGAGAGGGAGGAACAGGAGGAGGTGTTCGATGCGGTGGTGGTATGTAATGGTCATCACTGGGCGCCGAGAATGGCGGACGTACCGGGATTGGACACGTGGCATGGTATCCAGCTGCACAGCCATGATTATCGTACACCGGATACCTTTGGAAATGCCGTCGTCCTTGTGATAGGTGGGGGATTAAGTGGGGAGGACATCTCGAAAGAAGTAGCATCTGTTGCGGCGGAGGTTTACTTGAGTGCTCGCTCGCTGGACTCGCTCGCCATCGCCAAAGGTCCTCGGCCAATCGCCGGGCGAGCGAACCTCTATCTCCGGCCGGAGGTTGAGCGGGTCACACCAGACGGCCACGTGGCGTTCGCCGACAAGTCCGAGGTTAAAAAGGTTGACGTCATCATTCATTGCACCGGGTATCGCTATTCCTTTCCCTTCTTGGAGGCGGGAGGACTCGTCCACGTGGAGGATAACAGAGTGGGTCCGCTTTTCGAGCACGTGTTCCCGCCAAAATTGGCCCCGTGGCTCTCTTTTGTCGGCTTGCCGATCAAGGTGGTCGTTTTCCCTGTGTCGGAGATCCAGGCGGTCTGGGTCGCCCAGGCGCTGTCGGGCAAGGTCGAGATCCCGTCTGCGGAGGAGATGATGGATGAGGTTGGGAGATTCTATGCTGACCTGGACAAAAGGGGTGTGCCTAAACGATACACGCATTTTGTCGGATACCAACAAGACGGGTACGTTGAGGCCATCAGGGCTCGATGCCGAGACCCCCCGGTGTTCGAGAGATGGCGGACGGCGATGTTCAAGGCTGTGAGCGCCAATCGCCGTGTCCATTTCGCGGACTTCCGTGACACGTGGACGGATTACGATCTGGAGGAGCAGGGGCGAATCTCTCAATTGCGCGTGGCCGCAGAGAGAAAGGCCAGGGAGGGATAGGTATCCCGTCGAGCCCAGGGAATCCCGGTCCCCATGACGAACGGACGAAATCCAGGGCCACAACCAAGCCCGGAACTGACTACGAATCTCTCTCTCTCTCTCTCTCTCTCTCTCTCTCTCTCTCTCTCTCTCTCTCTCTCTCTCTC